GAAGTTGTGTAGATATGGCTGACGTCTGAGCACTGCAAGGTAAAATCCTTTCATGAGTCACAATTGAATTCCGGCGTTTTAAATGTCCAAGATACCTGGAAGAAAAAAAAAGAACATTTGCCAATGACAAATTCCATGAAGTATACCATACATCAGGGTTATTCAACTGGCGGCCCGCGGGCCACATCTGGCCAGCCGAGGCCTAGCAAGTGGCCCGCCGATCGTTGCCAAAATAGTGAAATGTTGTTATTAAAAAGAAAAAAAATTTATATAAATAAATGTTTTTGTATAAATCTTTAAAAAAAACAAGTCGTGTCGAATGTGTCAGTACGAAATTTTTGTCAGGGATCAGTAAATGAGGAGATACAAGGGAACCGGTACTGGAACACAAAATGTAATTAGTTCAGGGTAAAAGTTTGTTTCCATTTCGTTCAAATAGCAAAACTGGCTGAAACAGATGGGAAAGAAACCGCTGAACTGGACAGTCAATAAAGGTGAGATATTTATTGGACAGGAGGTGTACGGAAATACCAGCACGGTCCGGACAGTTAGAGCTTAGATTACAGAGAATCTATCTTTAATGGGCGCCACTAGTACACACAAACTAATACATTGGGCGCAGCAGAACACCAGTGACACTGGACACCGCAGAATACCTGCTAGTGATCTTGTTATCAGATTATAATAAGAATTGTCTGGATCGTCCAGTCACATACAAGTCACAGTCAGATGTAGATTGCCGGAGGGGATTGTACAGTACACAAACTGAATCAGTAACAGTGTTTTACATTATCTACTTTTAATAATTTAGTTAAATACTTGATGCCATGACTAGCACTATTAAGCGTGCAAAGTGGGAATGTAAAAATTGTGCGTTCAACAGTGACTGGGCACTGAAATATTTATTTATATCACTAACTATGCCTAATTCGAAACCAGTATGCTTGCTATTTGATTTCTTTAACACTGGACTTGGCAATCTTAATCGATCAAATGATATAATTATTTTTAAAAAAAAAGTTTCAGAATAATTTCAACAACAGATTTGACAACTTCAATATCCCAAACAATGTAATATTATTCAAGATCCTTTTAAAATCCCCCCTGGCGGGTGATTTTTCTTCCAATGCTAAGAAGCTGCTATGTTGATGAAGGTTCTCTGCAGTTAAAATGTGTGGATATCCAAAGTTCCAGCACACTAAATGAAAATTTTCAAAAAAAGTGGTACTGCAAGTTTTGGTACGAAAGGATTCAACAGGAGCAGTTCCGAATACTAGAAAAGATGCCGATTTCATAATCACCATATTTGGCACAACTTTCACATTTGAATCAAGCTTCTTACACATGAATGTCATCAAGACAAACAGTCGGAGCTCACTGAGCAATGATACGCTGCAGGACTGCAAGAGAATTGCTCTAACCCAGTGTTTCCCAAACCTTTCTTAGTCAGGGTGACTTTTTTTTCAATTACAATTTTCCACGGCGCCCTAACCCAAGTAAATGTATGACTATTCGTATGTAAGAGATACAAAAAAAATAAAACTCGTGTATCTTCAAATGTTTTGTGTGAAGAGATTGTGGCTTCCCCGGGCGCCGCAGAGCACAGTTTTGGAATCACTGTTCTAACTCAACACCAAATTAGCTCAAAAACGAAAATAGAGCATTCCACATTAATTACATTTTGCATTGTTATACATTTCCGTTTCTTTTGCAGAATATGAAACCAACTGTGGACAGTAATTATTATTATTATGACAATGTAATGGGAGTGACAATGGTAACGTTTATTTATGATCCCAACGACAAGTAATAAATACGTTATTTCAATTAAAAGTGATCCCCGTGTGGGTTTCTGAGCCTTACTGTGGAAGTACAAGAATTGGACCACTGTCTACCCAAAAGAATGTCGCAAGAGTTGACTAACTGGGAGCTTCGTTCAAAGGCAGAGTACATCTGCCTAAGAGCCAAGGAACCAACAGTCTGCATGCAAATGAGTAAGACATGTAAAACTAATGTGTACCCGACACTCAGCTTTTGGAACAGGACTAGAGTCCAGAAATAGACGATCATGCAGGACTTTCCGCTGGAGTTTACAGCCGGTGAATACGAAAAACAATAATTAGAAGGAGTATTAACGAATACTCTGGCCCGCGACAATCTCCATGTTCAACATTTTGGCCCGCGACGATCTCCATGTTCAACATTTCGGCCCGCGACAATCTCCATGTTCAACATTTCGGCCCGCGACAATCTCCATGTTCAACATTTTGGCCCGCGATGATCTCCATGTTCAACATTTTGGCCCGCGAGCTAACTTAGTTGAATAGCCCTCCCCTACATTCATGGCATACTTCTAACCCAGTGGCTCTCAACCTTCCTGATGCCGCGACCCTATGATACAGTTCCCTCATGTGGCGACCCTCAAAATCTTATTTTCTTTCATAATTTTTTTTACAGAATATGTGTTTTCTGATGGTCTTAGGCAACACCTGTGAAAGGTTCGTTCGACCCAAAAAAAAAGGGCAGCTACTGGCAGCTTTAATACCACTGTTCTAACACATGAGGAGATAGAGTTGCTATAGTCTGCTTTCGTGATGGCCTTATCTTGCCAAATTTATACCTTAAACAGTTTTTTTTTAAATAATTATCTTTCTTCCTTTTCTCAGTTACCTTATCAAATTTGGAATGGGAGGGGGGGGGGGAGGGGAGGGGAGCCCAATATCAGGCCCCTTGGACCCCCTCCCCACCCAGTACATTTTACAGGTACCTACTGCATGCTAGTTGGCGTTTGTGGTTTTCGCATTGCAAACATGGTTTATAAATCCCAGATACACTGTTGACTCCTAAGTGCGGGCGGTATGGCGGCAGACTGCCTTGTGTTTGTTTTCTACAATGGTATCAAAAGCTGACCATTTGGAAAGCTACGATGGCAAAATACTGAATGTGAAATCACCAACAGCCAAAAAATGCTGGAGTTGGTTATACAACGCCCTGTAATGGATTTACAACTATCTGAACATCACGGTAGATGGACCTGGTATCCAGGTCAGGTAATAAAATCCCCCAGTTGATTGGGTTTTGAACACATGATCACCATGTTTGCTAGCCAATGCAATACTGAGGCTACTGTAAAAGGAAATGTTCAAATGAATTAAAAACAATTATTTTTAAAGATTTTGGGCACTCAAAACCCTCTTACATTCAACTTTTTCTCCCAGTGCAAGTTCAGGGGCTTCATACTAGAAGAGAAAAACAGGTCGACTGCCTTCCTAAAAAGCATGTAAAAATGTGGCTTTTTAGGAATGTTTCCTTCAAGACGTCGGCTCTGTGGCTAAGTCGATGGGAACGCTTCGTAATGCCGGGGTACCGGGTTCGATCCCAGCTGCGGGCCATGCGCTGGTTTTGGCAGTGGTATCAGGGGGCTGACTGTCCATAAAGCAATGGCAAACTACTGGACATAAATTTGCCTAGAGAAACCACGCAACAGCTAGGGGCTGCTGGGGTTGGTTCTTAAATGTCCTGTAAAGGATACGCAACTAACCTAAGCTCCCTTCAAGACAGATGGCATCTGCTTGAGAGGCGAAGAACGAACAGATCAGCAGATCTTTACAATTTTGGTTCTGGATCAAGACTAAAATCCAGAAGAGGATGAACAACCAGAACTTTACGCCAGAGTTTACAGCAGGTAAATGCTGAAAAAGAGAAAGAAGAAATTTTCAACTCATTCTTCTTCTTCTTTGTGTTGGGTTTTGTATGCTCAGATCAGACCATCAGGTGGGTTGCCTCTGTGAACTTGCATGTAAGAAGCAGGTCCTTCATGGTTCCTCATAGCTTGCTCTGCACATTTTGCTCTTGAGGCCAGGTGTCTTTTCAAAGTTGTAGGTAGAGTGGGCAGGTCTGCAGAATGTGCTCAAGTGTTTGTGGTCCTGTCTGACAGGCACATTGTGGGGACTGTACAATCTTTATTTTACGCATGTGGTAGTTGAGCCTGCAGTGTCCTGTTCATGGAAGGAAAACTATTGTATGCTGCTTTCTGCTGAGTCTGCTGATGGGGGTCTTGTGGATTTTTACTGTTGGTTTGTTTTCTCCAAAGTTCCTCATATATCAGTTCAGTCAATCATCATTCTGAAGCAACTATTTTATTTTTAAAGCATGCAGAAACCACAGTTTGCACAGTGGTTAGATACTCGTCTGCCGGCTAAACAAGTCAAATTTAAGGAAAAAACATTATAATCTATGCTTTCAGATCAGATAGCCGAACTTGGATACCAGTTAAAGTCATGAGGAGTAAGGGTGACCTGTGTGCTGACCCTATTACTGCATGTGTTCCACTTGTTTGCGCTGAAGGCAGGTGTTAAGCCCCAGTGAGCATTTGGGGCCACATGGCTAAAGCTGTCACTATAGACTGTGCAGGTTGAGCTTTTATTTCTGCCGACAGAGAAATCCACAACCTTACCGAGGATCTCTGCGAGAGATCTCTAGAATGGGCCCTTATGTTTGCTTCGTATAAACTACTTTTCAGTGACTTTGATATTTATGTGGTCCATCTTCAGCGTGGTTGACCTATGGCCCTGTTACCATTGCATTGGTACAAAAACTGCTCTCTGTGGTGCCCTGTCTGGAGCAAATTTGTCTGATATTTTTTTGGTACTGTTCTGTTCACGAGGATTCTAGTCTGAGAAATCTCTTCATTTTTCTAAGAGCACTAAGAGACTACTACTCTGGTCTATGAAAATACGGATTTTACATCATTTACTTTATGCACCAAAGGCATGAAAGGGTCCTTTATTATGTAGAATGTTGAACTGAGAATCAGCATCACAGCACTCAGGACACTTACCAAGGCGGTCTGTCCCCATGTTCAGCAGCAAGCAAAGAGTTCCAATTCCAAGTCCTTTAATATTCAACTCAAAGCAAACACACATTCACATGGATGCATGCAGTAAAACACACAACTTACACCCTGCACTGGAAACTGTTGAGCCCTATGCCAAAGACAGCTACAAGAGCTGCATGCTTTCGTTCTTGCCAAAGGTGTTTTCTCCACTATATGCAATGTACAGAAACCCGTCTTCATCTGCATGGTCTTCGTAGATTTGACCCATGCTTGCACTGAAACAAAATTGAGTTACGAACTATGTCTAGCGTTTCTTGGATGTTTGTAGTTTTACTAGGCAGTATTACGTTCAATTAGGCTCAGTAATTAACAATTATACAGCTTCACAAAAGAAGTCAGACTCACTTTAGCAATGCATCATAAGAACCTAGGGCACAACAAATGCAAAATAATCTTTAGATCCTGCATCTTTCCAGAGACAACTTATGGATGTCAGCATGGACTCTTATTCAATCACTAAAGAAGAACAAAAATCAGAGCCTGAGAACTGACATGCTACAGAAAACCTATTAGAAAACCTAAACAAAGAAGAAGAAAAACACTGACATCCTACAAGATCTGAGTATCAAGGAGAACTGGCTCATAATTGACATCCTACAAGATCTGAGTATCCAGGAGAACTGGCTCATAACTGACATCCTACAAGATCTGAGTATCCAGGAGAACTGGCTCATAACTGACATCCTGCAAGATCTGAGTATCACGGAGAACTGGCTCACAACTGACATCCTACAAGATCTGAGTATGGAGGAGAACTGGCTCATAACTGACATCCTGCAAGATCTGAGTATCAAGGAGAACTGGCTCATAACTGACATCCTGCAAGATCTGAGTATCCAGGAGAACTGGCTCATAACTGACATCCTACAAGATCTGAGTATCCAGGAGAACTGGCTCATAACTGACATCCTACAAGATCTGAGTATCCAGGAGAACTGGCTCATAACTGACATCCTACAAGATCTGAGTATCCAGGAGAACTGGCTCATAACTGACATTCTACAAGATCTGAGTATCAAGGAGAACTGGCTCATAACTGACATCCTACAAGATCTGAGTATCAAGGAGAACTGGCTCATAACTGACATCCTGCAAGATCTGAGTATCAAGGAGAACTGGCTCATAACTGACATCCTACAAGATCTGAGTATGAAGGAGAACTGGCTCATAACTGACATCCTACAAGATCTGAGTATTTTATGGAGAACTGGCTCATAACTGACATCCTACAAGATCTGAGTATGAAGGAGAACTGGCTCATAACTGACATCCTACAAGATCTGAGTATCAAGGAGAACTGGCTCATAACTGACATCCTACAAGATCTGAGTATCCAGGAGAACTGACTCATAACTGACATCCTACAAGATCTGAGTATCAAGGAGAACTGGCTCATAACTGACATCCTGCAAGATCTGAGTATCAAGGAGAACTGGCTCATAACTGACATCCTGCAAGATCTGAGTATCAAGGAGAACTGGCTCATAACTGACATCCTACAAGATCTGAGTATCAAGGAGAACTGGCTCATAACTGACATCCTGCAAGATCTGAGTATCACGGAGAACTGGCTCACAACTGACATCCTACAAGATCTGAGTATGGAGGAGAACTGGCTCATAACTGACATCCTGCAAGATCTGAGTATCAAGGAGAATGGCTCATAACTGACATCCTGCAAGATCTGAGTATCCAGGAGAACTGGCTCATAACTGACATCCTACAAGATCTGAGTATCCAGGAGAACTGGCTCATAACTGACATCCTACAAGATCTGAGTATCCAGGAGAGCTGGCTCATAACTGACATCCTACAAGATCTGAGTATCCAGGAGAACTGGCTCATAACTGACATCCTACAAGATCTGAGTATCAAGGAGAACTGGCTCATAACTGACATCCTACAAGATCTGAGTATCAAGGAGAACTGGCTCATAACTGACATCCTGCAAGATCTGAGTATCACGGAGAACTGGCTCACAACTGACATCCTACAAGATCTGAGTATGGAGGAGAACTGGCTCATAACTGACATCCTGCAAGATCTGAGTATCAAGGAGAACTGGCTCATAACTGACATCCTGCAAGATCTGAGTATCCAGGAGAACTGGCTCATAACTGACATCCTACAAGATCTGAGTATCCAGGAGAACTGGCTCATAACTGACATCCTACAAGATCTGAGTATTCAGGAGAACTGGCTCATAACTGACATCCTGCAAGATCTGAGTATCATGGAGAAATGGCTCACAACTGACATCCTACAAGATCTGAGTATGGAGAAGAACTGGCTCATAACTGACATCCTGCAAGATCTGAGTATCAAGGTGAACTGGCTCATAACTGACATCCTGCAAGATCTGAGTATCAAGGAGAACTGGCTCATAACTGACATCCTACAAGATCTGAGTATCAAGGAGAACTTGCTCATAACTGACATCCTACAAGATCTGAGTATGAAGGAGAACTGGCTCATAACTGACATCCTGCACGATCTGAGTATCGAGAAGAACTGGCTCATAACTGACATCCTGCAAGATCTGAGTATCAAGGAGAACTGGCTCATAACTGACATCCTACAAGATCTGAGTATCCAGGAGAACTGGCTCACAACTGACATCCTACAAGATCAGAGTATGGAGGAGGACTGGCTCATAACTGACATCCTGCAAGATCTGAGTATCAAGGAGAACTTGCTCATAACTGACATCCTACAAGATCTGAGTATCCAGAAGAACTGGCTCATAACTGACATCCTGCAAGATCTGAGTATCACGGAGAAATGGCTCACAACTGACATCCTACAAGATCTGAGTATGGAGGAGAACTGGCTCATAACTGACATCCTGCAAGATCTGAGTATGAAGGAGAACTGGCTCATAACTGACATCCTGCAAGATCTGAGTATCGAGAAGAACTGGCTCATAACTGACATCCTGCAAGATCTGAGTATCCAGGAGAACTGGCTCATAACTGACATCCTGCAAGATCTGAGTATCCAGGAGAACTGGCTCATAACTGACATCCTGCAAGATCTGAGTATCCAGGAGAACTGGCTCATAACTGACATCCTGCAAGATCTGAGTATCCAGGAGAACTGGCTCATAACTGACATCCTACAAGATCTGAGTATCCAGGAGAACTGGCTCATAACTGACATCCTGCAAGATCTGAGTATGAAGGAGAACTGGCTCATAACTGACATCCTACAAGATCTGAGTATCAAGAAGAACTGGCTCATAACTGACATCCTACAAGATCTGAGTATGAAGGAGAACTTGCTCATAACTGACATCCTACAAGATCTGAGTATCAAGGAGAACTGGCTCATAACTGACATCCTGCAAGATCTGAGTATCGAGAAGAACTGGCTCATAACTGACATCCTACAAGATCTGAGTATCGAGAAGAACTGGCTCATAACTGACATCCTACAAGATCTGAGTATCCAGGAGAACTGGCTCATAACTGACATCCTGCAAGATCTGAGTATCGAGAAGAACTGGCTCATAACTGACATCCTGCAAGATCTGAGTATGAAGGAGAACTGGCTCATAACTGACATCCTGCAAGATCTGAGTATCAAGGAGAACTGGCTCATAACTGACATCCTGCAAGATCTGAGTATCAAGGAGAACTGGCTCATAACTGACATCCTGCAAGATCTGAGTATCAAGGAGAACTGGCTCATAACTGACAGTGAGACTTTTAGGCTTGCCATGATGACAGCGATGTTCTATAAAGGATATGCCTGACGATAAACCTGCTTTTTTCTAAAAAGTTCCACGTACATATCAACACTGTCAAAATCAATATGAAACAGTCTGTGGCCAGATCGTCTGCGACGGAATCAAACCTGCTATGTCAGAATAAGGAAACTGCATACCTCTAAGCCAAAAGCACCAGTATATATATTGCACCTCTTAACAACTAAGGAACATGTTACAGAACTCTAAGGTTGATTTTTTTTAACCCTTTCACCCCAGTAACCCTTACCCAAAAAAAACCTACCGTCCAGAGAATTTTACAAATAAAATTTACTTTAGCAAAAATCCCAAGCTGTATTCTTGTTCTTCTTCACGTTCACCAAGTGTAAACTTAGGCAGAAAGCTCTGGTTATACTTTCACTTCTGGACTTTATGTTCCAGAATATTTTACATGCACATCCCTTTTACAGATCTGGCTTATTCGTATGCAGACTGTTGGTTCCTTGCTTCTCCGGCAGATGCACTCTGATTTTAATGAAAACCTGCAATTAACTGATTCTAACATCACGCTTGTTAGGAAGGCAGTGGGTCTACTCCACCAACCACCTTTCCCTACAATGGAGCCCAGCCACACAGGGAGGAAGGTGTGAAAAAGGTCTTCAAAGTTTGCCTTACAAGGTCTTGGCTTCATTGTTCCACTCTACGGCTGGCCAGATCAGGGTAATCATGTAAGGCATGCTCTAGAATTTTCCTTGTTTGAGTCAATAGATACTTATAATCATAAGGAAGTTCACACATCAGATGGGGTAATCGACTCACCCACATTAAACAAACTACAGTGGAACCTCGCTTAACAAGCATAATTTGTTCCAGAATAATACTCGTTATGCGAAACAATTTTTCTCATATAAATTAATGTAAAATACGATAATGCGTTCCATGTCGAAAAAAATACTCACAAAATGCTATGTATAATGTTTATTCAAAGAAAATTATATCCATACTGTTAAGGAGAGTGAATCATCTTCATCTTTTCTTCAAACGCGAAACAAACCCACCTGGAATGCGAATTCGATTTGCAGAAAAAAAAAGTCAAAGTAATTATGAAACATAGCTAATTATATTTTTTTTTACTAGAAAGATGTCCAGAGACATTTGTTTTTGCCCACACTTAAAAAATTTGGCGAAAATGCTACACAGCATTATCATTAAGTAAATTTGCAACGCGCATAGCCACTTTCTTCTTAGGGTGATGCTTCTCAATGTTAGATGCAACAGTGGGCCATTCTTTCAGCATTTCTCTTATTTCACCAGAAGATTGTTGCTTTTATGTTACCTCCTCCTCCTCCTCTGACAAACTTTCCCCCAAAACTTCTTGCTGTGAAACCCAATGCAACTCGATAAGCTCTTGGGTGGTCAGGTCTTGGCTGTGCTCTTCCACAAGCTCTTCGATATCACTGTTATCCACCTCCAATCCCATGATAGTGGCCAAAGACACCATCTCGCTGACTACAGGTTACACAGGTACTGTCTCGAACCCCTCAAAGTCACAAATCGACAACCCTCTCCGGCCAAAGCTTCTTCCAAGCAGAAGTTTGGGTTCTCTTGGTAACCCTTTCCCCGCCTTGTCGATCATCTTGAGGCAGGCTCGATGTGGAGGTGGTTTTTCCAAAACTCTCTCAAGGTGAGGTTGGTCCCTTCAGTCACCCAAAAACAATGCTTGAAGAGAGCTTTAGTATAGAGCTTCTTAAAGTTAGAAATAACGTGCTGGTCCATGGGCTAGAACAACGGAGTGGTGTTGGGAGGCAGAAACTGGATCTTGATGAACTTAATTCTTCAGAGAGGTCATCTTGTAAGCCTGGAGGATTCATGTACATATATCACAAAATAACACAAGTTGAGAAAATGTTTGATCACATGCGACACTACGATGCTACTGGAATGAGTTTCTAAACACAGACTGATGTAACATGCACACAATTTGGGACTTCTCTTCTCCTCACCACTCGTTATGCGAAACGTCGCTCGTTAAGAAAGTCATTTTTTTTACAATTTGTTTTGCTTGTTATGCGAATTACTCGTTATGAGAGGTGCTCGTTAAGCGAGGTTCTACTGTACTGTCTTCTGACAACCAGTGCTTGTTCTGCAGTGAAGAAGATAAGACTGCGAGACCACATTGACAGGTTAAACTCAGCATGCAGTAAATACAACATGACGATCAATGCAAACAAAACCAAAACAATGCAAGCTAGTAGAACCCCTGGCCTACCACACATACAGCTGAATGGTTCAGGTGTGAATCAAGTTAGGGAACTTTAATATCTAGGAAGTGTGATCTTGGAAGTTGACAGAACTGACAGAGAAATAGGAACCAGATGTCAGAAAGCATTTGCACTAATATGCCAACTGCCACCATTATTAAGACATTCATTCAAAACTATGAGTCTAAAGTATAAACATCATATTCACTCCAACATTAAACTATCAGTGCCAACCATGGACACTAAAGCCCATATTCGCAAAATCACTACTTGCGAGATCAGATGCCCGAGAAAAGCTGCGCAATCTAATCAGCTCAGATCGAACCCGGCGCCACGGAACAAACAAAAACGCCTAAACCTTATTATAAAAGGAATTTAATTAGGGATTTGTTGAAATGAAAAGCGTTGTACCTAAAGATGCAGATGTCACAACCTAGCTGTAAGCTCTAAAACCACGTTGAAGGTGAATGAAGAAGAAGCTGCATTAGACACAGTATCAATAAATTTGTCCAGTATCCTATGATAATGATTCTTAAACCAGTGAAACAGGTAATGTTCTTACCTCGATTGCGGAAGAACTTTCCCAACAAATAAAAAGATGGCCTTTTCGGATGGAAGCTGAATTCGTTTGCGAATAATCCACATAAACTGAGCAACAGAAATATCATTGGGTACCAGGAACTTTCTTTTGTCGATGCTTGCAATCTGTGACTTGGGGTCCTTTTCCACAATCACCTGGACAGGCAGAAACAAATGTTGGCGGAAAAGGATATTAATAAAAGATATCAAAGATACATAAAAGATATATTCTTTGCATTTGTCATCTGTAAATACCAGTGGAAAGTCCTGGTTGTTTGTCCATGTCTGGACTTTAGTCTTGTTCCAGGTCTTGAGTGTTGCGTGCACATCCATGTTACAGATCTGGCTTATTTGGGTGCAGACTGTTTGTTGCCTCTCAGGCAGACGCATTCTAACCTGGAAGATCCTGTTTTCAGGTTGAGGTAAGCAACGTCTTCTGTATGACTCCTGGTGTTGTTGGTGTATCCATGAAGTTATCTGAGCTTGCTCTATTCTAAGAAGTGTTTACTCTTATCAATTAATTCCCCAAGTGGGTTCCCAGCCCCACTGTGGGGGGAAAACAACAAGAACAGGCCCACTGTCTCTCCAAAAAGCATGATGTAAGAGTTGACTAACTGGCGGCTTCCTTCAAAGTCAGGGTGCAACAGCCTGAGAGGCAAGAAACCAACAGTAAGTCAGATCTGTAAAATGGATTTGCAGGCAGAACTCAGATTCTGAAACAAGACTAAAGTCTAGAGGTGGATGAACAACTAGAAGCTTCCGCCGGAGTTTACAGAGAGTGAACGTGAAAAAGAAGTAATCAATATTTAAAACAATGACAACAAACAGATAGTAGGAGGTAAAGTAATAACTGGGGTAGAGGTGGTCAGTGTAACAACTGGGAGAGTTAAAAAAAAGTTCTGCAAAGTTTAACACACACAATGTAAGTGGCTTGGTACTGATTGAGTTAACAGATGCAGTGGTAACTAGAACTTCAGGACAAAAATTCAACAGTCAAATATCATCAACACAGCAGACAGCATAAAAACTGAAAGATACACTTATCTTATAGAATAAAACTGAAAATCTATGGAACTGTTTGTATATTTATTTGTCACAAGAACTCCTCTCAAAAAGTGACCAGTAGAGGGGTGAAATTTGGAGATGTCATTCTGGCGGCAAGGTCTAGGTCAACTGTGCGGTGCTATCTTCAACAAGGTTTCTATGTATTTCTGACAATAAACACCACATCACTAAAAGCTAACCTTTACTGGAATTATATCTCTTGGCTAACTACATTTTTTGTTTACAGACCTGGAAAAGAAAATTAGTTTTTAAAAAACCTGTATTTTGCTGTTATCTCACTTTTAAAGTCTAGACAGTGACAGTTGTTTCTAGTTAGCAGTAGCTGGCGCAGTAGCATAGTGGCTAGATCGCTATTTCTTAAAGTGGGTGCTACCACCGATCTGGGGGGTGCTGGGGAGGTTGAGGGAGGCGGTAGCTTTGTTAGTCAAATTTGGGAGATGGTGGAATAAAGAGGCTAAGATTTGATATGGATCCCTAACAGATCAACAAGAGGCTAAACATACTGCATATGGCCACATGCTAACATGATTAAAATTAGCATTTTCTATACTATATAACAGACAATACATGTCCCTGTCTGTCACACTGTAAAATATCCTCAGTGAAGTGGTTATCTCATCCAACACACAGTGGGTCAGGGATTTTTTTTAGTCTCACTGTTCATGGTAATTTCCACAAAAGACAGTCCAGGTAATTAAAATAAAAATGTAAAAAGTTCCAATTGGTTGATTACAATTAATTATGACTGAAGTAGCAGCAGCAAAAGCATACTGGTTAGATGTGACCCTAGTTCCTCAGGCTCAAAAAGCCCTGTCCTACAATGCCCTATTTAAGTGGTAAACACGGGCAACAAAGACAACTGTATGCATCCACCCAGAAATGGCAATGGCCAGCGCTGCACTTTAAGGACTGGCTCGTAAACTGTTGCTTACCCCAACTTATGACAGTAAACATGAAGACCATTCGACCGTCAGAGGTGGAGGGAGTTGATCAGACAGCCAACATCAAATGGTGACCCAACAACATGCCGATTTATGGCATTATGATGATGATAACAATGATACGTATGTGAGTAACTTACCGGAATGCGCTCAGGATACTTTGTGCGAATTTTTCCAGACTCCAGTTTCCTGTGCTCTGAAAAAGCACAATGTTTTTAAAATGAGCAACATATAATTCAGGGAGTACGCATGTGTATGCGAGTAAGCTCTTTGCCTTGAACTCTGAATATGAAAAAAGGCTATCCTCCGAATAAGTCGGTAAAGATGGCGGCCGCAAAATATCCTTTCAAGCCACAGTCAGGTGACCTAATTTGCGGTTCTCCTGCGACTTAATTTGCAGTCCTCCTGCGGTTTTCTAGTGACTACCACCACCGCCACGAGTTCCCCAGCAGCTTCTGCATCTCCTGAAGCTTTGCTCGTGAGTCCTAGCCATCTAGTTTAGCCCCAATCCACGCCGCGTGAGCGGCGTTGGAAAATTGTGGCGGTGGTGGTAATCGCCGGAAAACCACAGGAGAACCGCTAATTAGGTCACGTGACTGTGGCTCAAAAGAATATTTTGTGGCCGCCATCTTTACCGACAGTTATTCGGAGGATAGCCTAAAAAATATGAAATCCAAAGAAAACCATCAACAGACTATATGACTCTCTATAAATTATTTATGATGATGGAAAACTTCTGGCACACATGTAGCCCCTGAGACATGTATGGCAAGATCAAGGAATCTATTACTCAAACTAAAATCATTTATATAGTAGAGTAAAGAATGCCATGCCATCCTTGAAGCAGTTTCTCCTAGAGAGAAACTCGGCGAGGATAATTAACTACTATTTTGATGACACAATGTTAGTAAGATTGTCTAAATATTCATAGTTATTTGCGTATCACTTATAGGACATTGCAGAACCAACTCCAGCATTTTTTGGCTGTTGTGGTTTTTCTTGGCAAATTTACGTCCAGAAGTTTGCCATTGCTTTATGGACAGTCGGCTTCTCAATAACACTCTTGAAACCAACGCAAGGCCCGCAGCTGAGATTGAACCCAGTACGCCAGCATTACAAAGTCGTTCGCATCGCCTAAGCCACAGACGCCGACAAATATTCATAGTACTTTAAAAAAAAAATGTTTTATCTTAATGATACAATGCTAATTAATAAGCCTAAATATTCACAGCACAATTTGCACAATCGAAGCAATATCTGAAATAATATAAATTACATATTTTGTCATAAATAAATAAATAGTGTGGTTTATATATAGGCTAGGCTATGATATCAGCACTTTTTTACCCAATGCACTTGATTTCAGCAAACCTTACATTTGTCGTTAGTCACCTTTTTTCTACAAGTAGGTTAAGTGGCAGAGGATCAGTGCAATGTTTAATTGCAAATTACATTATATCCACATATTATATTAATATAAAATTATGAATTATAATATTATGACTGATGACTATCTGACTATGACTAGGTCAAAGATGTAAATATGTTCGACTGTTTGCAACTGGTGCTTATACTTATATGCTTTGATGTTTACTTAATTTCCTTGTCCATAATTGTAAAATACGAATATTGAGCAACAAAATAATTCATCTGAGAAAATAGCTACATTAACACCTAAGGGTAACTGGACATTCACTTATGATTTCATACAGTTAATGATATTATTATAATAATCTTGTTCCCTTTCTGAACTTTCTCAGACGGAAAAGACAAATTGTACTGTTAAGTTAACAACATAGTCAACTGACAACTCAACACAAACTTTCTTACCAAACGTATGCTCCTCTTTGAATTTGAACCTCATCTTGCTGTTTTGGTAATGGATACCTGCTCTCTTCGATGACAAACACAACCCTTTGTTGCCAAATTCAGTTTTAGTTGAATATCTGTTGGTGGATGTCGAAATTTGGTTGAAAGTGAGTCAATCTTTGGTCTAGTTGTTGTTGTTGTTGTTATTGTTGTAAGCTTTCTACTTGTGACAGACCGACATGGGCAGGAAGACCGACCATTTGACTTTTAAAATATATTTCTATATGTATCATACATTTTGTTTTAATGCAATATTTTCCAGTCACAACACATTAAGAATTTTTTTCCCGTATTTATATATATATATATAAATATTTAGAAATATATTTTTTTGCAATTTGCATATGGAACACACACACACACACACACACACACACACACACACACACACACACACACTTATATGCATAATATATATATATATATATATATATATATATATATATAATATATATAAATATATATATAATATATATATATATTATGCATATAAGTGTGTGTGTGTGTGTGTGTGTGTGTGTGTGTGTGTGTGTGTGTGTGTGTGTGTGTTCCATATGCAAATTGCAAAAAAATATATTTCTAAATATTTATATACACACACATACATAGCCTACATATCCATGTGTATGTGAGTGTGTGCTTATGTGTGTGTGTGGTGCAAGAATTATATATTTTCCATAAACATATATGTATAATACCGCTGGAAATATATGTCTAGATGTAATGAAATATATTTGTATGTATTTCGCATGTGAAGAAAAATATTTTTTTTTAACAGAACATGGCGCATAAATGAGTCTTACACCCGAAGCGTTGTTATATGAAAAAAAAAACAAAAAGATAAGGGGTAGAATGTCAGTCATAGTTCCATTCTATACATTTTCAATCCTTTGTTGTATTTTTATTTTGCTGGCTGATAAAGGCTTTTGTCTAAAGTTTTGATATTATTTGTGATTCTGATTTACTTTCACACACATCAAGAATATACGTAAATTCAAAGAATTCGCAAAAAAGCTCTATAGAATTTCACATCATTAGTGTACTGAGGATATAATAATTTCAAGAATATTTGGTCTTGTTTTAGGGACTGAGTCACTAAAATAAAAAGTTTTCATCTATTTTCTCAACTGTAAAATATTAGAATTTGTGATAATATTGAATTTCTTTTTAACAATGCAAAAAACAAAACACACAATCATGTATTCACAAGAATGATGAAGATAGGCTGCAAAAGGTCTCTATCCAATTTACCCCCCTCTAACTAGCAATTTGACTCTTTTAGTCCCGACAGATTTTGCAGAAAATACTTAGACGGAGAACCCATCACTACGAAATCTCATATCTGAATTTTGAGCCACTAAATTAGCAGCAGAAGTGGCTACTGGAGAAACTAGTTTTTTTTTTCAGAATATTATGAACAAACGTAAAAATATAAAAGCACAGACTGCACTATGGTTGAGTTTAGTGCCGAAGAGTGTATCATACAGGCATGTGTTATTTGGGACTGGTTAGTTGCGTATCCTTTACAGGACGTCACAGAACCAACCCCAGCAGCCCCTGGCTTTTGTGTGGTTTCTCTAGGCAAATTTACGTCCAGTAGTTTGCCATTGCTTCTGGACGGTCGGCCCCCTGTCGAAAAACCACTGTCCAAACCAATGCAAGGCACATGACCCGCAGCTGGGATCGAACCTGGCACCCCGGCATTACAAAGCGTTCGCATCGACTTAGCCATAGAGCCGACATATGGCACTGATGGAGTAAAATTTCCCTTTACACGCTAGTAGTGCATCCGGTACATGAGGCTAGACCAGTTAGCCTTTACTTCCCAGGACCTTATCTGGTACCCATTTGAGGCTGGGTGGATCTGGGAGACTAGGTCGTGTTTGGAAAAAATCCAGCCTCATACTTATTTGAACCCTCGACCGTTTGATCCGCAGGATCATCGGCGACCAAGTCGCAAATTGGTTAGACGGTATACGACTTCGTCGTCGGTCAGGAAAGTATTTGGGTCTGTTCCGTTTGATGGCATTAAGACTGCAAAATTCCTAATCAGGAATACTTCGTGGCGAGTATTTCTAAATTATTTTATAATGCGCACAAAACCTAGTCACAATTATAACCAAAAGCTCCCTCTTCGGAGATGCTGGAGAACATGACGACTTTGTTTTTCGCAAACCAAGGCCAGATCGACAGATGATTGTCTAGCCTCTACACTAGCTAAAAGACATCAGACAGCAGACCACCTTGCGTTGGTTTTGACAGTGGTAATCCCCTCCAAGTCGGAGTACATCTGCCGATGAGGCGGGGAACAGCAAAAAAATAAGTCAGTAAAACGGATGTACACGCAAAACTCAGGTCCAGGTAAAAGCCAGAAGTCAAATCGCTGGAACTCACAGCCGGTGAACGAGAAGAAGAAGAAGAAGAAGACAATGGTACCGAGATACGAGCGTGCAGGGAAACAATGGCAAATTGAAAAAAAAAAAAAAAAACACAAATTTACCTAGAAAAATCATAAGAGCAATTTCCTCTCCCCCAAACAAAATGTACACACACGCACACACACACACACACACACACACACACACACACACACACACACACACACACACAAAACACACACAATACACACACAAACACACAAAAACACACACAAAACACACACACACACAAAACACACACAAACAAAACACACAAACACACACAAAACACACACACACACACACACGCACACAAACCACGGGAGCTCCAGACAAGCAGACTACCTGAACCAAACTATCATAAATGCCAAAACTACAAGAGATGGCCAGATTACAGTCAAAACATCCTTTGGATATTTTTTCCAGATGATGCCGGTGTGTTGGGAAATGAGCAGACAGATAGGCTTGGTATTTCTGCACTACTTGGTGGTAAACTGATGTATGCCAAGCTAGGTGTTGTGATTTCCATTTGGGAGCGAGTGAACTGTTCCGAGAAACAGATGCGTATTTACGGTCTGAGGAGAATGGTGTTGTGAGGCGTTACAAGGGGATTTTGGCCGACGCTCGTCACTCAGGGAAAAGGCTAGACGGATATACGATCACACAGTTACAGGTACCATTGGAATATTAACTCTTCGCTTGCTGCTGAAGATGGGGACGGTGCGTTTATGGGGGTACCCCGAGGGCTGTGATGTCGATTCTTAATTCAACATTCAACAGTCAAAACAAAGTCGCTTGTGGATTACCCTTTCCACCACATAACCTTAAAAAAAAAAATAACTTTGTGAATCGGCTAAAAAAAAAGTGCCTTTATCCATGCACAGACATTCTCCTTAGAAACTTTTGTTTATAAAAGCCAAGTGATTTTAAACATAATGGGAGCCACCATGGTGTAGTGGCTAGAAGCTCGCTTGCTGATCCGAAAGTCTCGGGTTCAGACTCCTGACGGAAACGGGCATTCCAAGTCGAGCCAGCCTTAAATGTGCACCAGTCATGGGAAGTAAAGGCGGCCGGCGTGGTGTTGACCACATCACCCACCCAGTGCAGATTGGTGTATCAAATATAGGTCTACCCCGAGATGCCCAGTGAGCCTGAAGGCGGGGGAAAATGGCCATTTACTTATTTTAAAACGTGATATTATTTTCCGTCGGCATCTGTGACTTATGTGTTGCTAACGCGCTTCGTAATGCCGAGGTATCGTGTTCCATGTTAGTTGCAGACGATTTGGCAACAGACTGTCTTGCGTTAGTTTTAGACCTGTATTTCGAGAGCTGACCGTTTAGAGAGGAATGGCAATTACTAAACGTAAATTTGCACAGAAAAGAAAAACAAAAACAGATACAAATTGATGGGTTTGGTTCTGCAATGGTCCATAAAGGATAGGCGACATTTTGTCAATATCTGCTCTAGGCGTCGCAGTCCAACAGACGACCGGTAGCCGAGCCAGGGCGCGCTCGGTCGCTTCATATGTCGTGATGTTATGCAGTCTCAAGGAGCAAGTGACTTCTTCCATCCATCTTCTTCTCGGTCTTCCCCTGACTCTTGGTGTTTCCATTTTCAAGTTGTACGCTCTTGCTACTGTTGGTTTCATTCTCATTAGATGGCCAAACCATTTCATTCTTTTTTTTTCTCAATAAGTTTGATGATAGGTGTTGTTCAAACAGCTCTTGTAATCACGTCGTTTCTCACTTGATCTTTTCAGGTTTTATTCACAGCAATTTTCAATCATCTCATCTCACAGGTGATTAGTTTTCTCTCGTGTTTTTTGTGTGTCGATGTTTAAGTCTGACACTGGTATGCTGCAGGAGATCGTGGATTATGGAGAGGCATGATCGCCCACGCCAGTCGGCAAGGCACCTGATGATGATGATGATGATGATGACTGGTAACCTAAAGTCGACACGCAACTAACTTTCTAAAAAATTATATTCCATTCGGTATATTAGTGTTGAGGCCCCGCCCCCTTCCCCCCAACCAGTATCCTAGCAAGTTTCTAAAGCATGTTTTCTTTTTATCGGAGCCGCTGCAAACTACGGCAAGGAAGATCAAAGGAGTGAAAGTAACTAATGTTCTTTTGTTTTGTCAACAAAGTATTTGTCAAAGATAAACCAAGCGATCAAAAGAAAAATCACAATAAATATCCGTGACTTTCATAGTTCCGTTCTATATATTTTCGATCATTTGTTGTATTTCTGTTATTTTGCTGGCTGATAAAGGCTTTTGTCGAAACGTTTGATATTATTTGGGATTCTAATTCCTTTTCGCCCCCCCCCCACCCCCACAAAAAACACATATCGACCTTGTTGAACCTGCTGTCATCATTCGGATGAGGATCACCCGTGGAGAGGTCCCAGAAACTCCGTTCAACCGTTAGGTTATATTAGGGTCCCGGGCAACAGCCAGGGTGTGGCTTACAAATAGCGAAAAATTGCGTCCCACGTGGGGCCTGGGATTAGTTGACATTTATTCGTGGTAGGTAGGTAGTTGTACCCCACCAGGACATCACACAAGCAATAAA